ACACATACACACACACACACACACACACTCTGTCTCTCTCCCACACATACACACACACTCTGTCTCTCTCCCACACATACACAGTTAGAGGGGGATATTAGTAATACAAGGGAAGATAGAAAAAAATATATAGTTTGGAGTCCATTTGGTGGCTTTCAAAGTGTCCAGTTTAAACTTGAGGCTAGGGTTGCTTGGATGCTTTAGGCAGTAGCAAATATTGCAGTTATTTTTAAAGTTCTTGACTTCCTGAAGCTGCTTCAAGGGAACCAGATCCATTCCTCTGAGAGAAAGAGAAGTGGAGATAGTAACTTCCCTTTTAATAATATCTCAAAGTTCACAGAACCTCCCTTGAAATACTGGTTCCAGTTTATATTTCCCAAATGTTCTTTTTGGGTGTGTTTGTGGTAGCCATGCTGAAATGTTCCTTTTGTTAATGTCTTCCTGAATTCGTACAAAGTTTAATGGGTGTGGATTGTAGGAACTCTCTCTCTTTTCACATTCCAAGGGAGATTTTTTGGTTCTTTCATCCACCTTGAGGTGTTTTTGCTTGCTGTTTGCAGCTTGCCTTGTCTCGGTCAAATCTGCAAGAGTTCCAACAGTTAAAAGTCTTCAAAACCCTGTCTTGAAAAATCTTCTATTCATGACCTCAGATCTTCCCATGGTGCATTAATTAATGAATTGTGGTCACTTATATCATGTTGGAAAATTGCAGCCAATTTGTGTGCAGCCAAATCCACAAACAGCAATGAGATAATGTTAGAATTAGAATTAGGTTTATTGTCATGCGTACTCGAGTACAGCGAAAAGTTTACAATGGCGCCCCACACTGCACTATCTTAGGTACAAAGTATCTAGGTACAAATCTTGAATACAAAAAGAAAGCAAGTTACATTACCTCAGTTTTTCAATATTATGAGTTAAATAACTGGACTGTCTTTTTTTGGATTATGGTTGAGTGATTATTGTTGGGCTGGACAGTTGTGAAAGCTCGAAGAAAAAAAATAATCAGACTACTGCAGGTGCTGGTAATCTGAATCAAATACAAAGAACAGAGAGACACAGCAAATCTGCAGCATCTGTGAAGAGAGAAACAGGGTTAATGTTTCAAGTCCAGTGATTTTTTTTTTTTTTCTTTTTTTTTCATCAGTTCTGTCAAGACTCGCCTTCTCCTCCTCAAATATTATAGGTTCCTTTCCGCCCACCCCAGTGGACAGCCTGGGCTTCAGGATCGTGTCTGAGAAATGTGCAGTCCTCTTTCAGCACCTACCAGGATTGGGCAGCTGGGAGCGTGAGCATGAGCTCAGATCCATACAATGGAGCTCAGAGCAGAGCGCCTCTCTGTGCGTTATACAAAGAATAATGGACCTTTGACAGTGAGGTGCAAATTTGGAATTGATTCATCTGCACCTGCTGATCTGAAGTGTTTATTGATCAGTTCAATCAACTAAACTAACCACAGGCTAGCTAGCTTAACATCCATCATGAAACCCATTGTCTGGACTCTGCACACAAAAACATGGCCATTTCAGTGAGGTGCCTGTCAGTGAGCATTCCTGTGGGGTTGTAATGCAGTTCGGGCTTAGGAGAAGGAAGAGAAAATGCAAATAAACAAATATAATTAGCAACAAATTGAATCTACTAATCACAGAATTTATGCCACAACAGGTTCAGTCTGTGAGAGAAGTCAAAGCCACCAACCGCGAGTATTCCTTTGAGATAGTTATGAAAAACGGGAAAAGGAAATTGCTGGTAAGTCTGATTGTGTAAGGTTGTGAATTGAGCCGGTGGAGTTAGATAAAACTGTGAGCCTGCTGTATTGTGGATCATATTGGGCAGGTTTTGATATAAGTTAGAGCTTCCTGAACTGTGAGCCCTGAAGCAGCAACCACTGCCAACATTCACTCCATTTTCTCTCCACAGATGCTGCCAGACCTGCTGAGTCTTTCCAGCAATTTCCAGGGATGTGCAGGCTCGATGGATTAGCCATGGGAAATGCAGGGATACAGGGTTAGGATAAGGGGGTAGGTCTAGGTAGGTCTTCAGAGGGTCAGTGTGAATTTGATGGACCAAACAGCCTCTTTCTGCACTGTATGGATTATATGATTGTAAACTGCTGTGTGACCCATTTTAAATAGCTGGAGCTGACTAAACCGTGAGACCTGAGCCTTCGGCTGGAAAACCCTGTGAATGTTCCCTGTCCACCTGCACACCCCAGGAATGAAGCAAGCTGCCCCCCCCTCCACCCCACACCCCCCCTCCCCTTCCACAGGTCACTTCCCTCCCACCCCCCTCTTATGGGTCCTCCTCCCCTATCCCACACTCCCACAATCTCTCCCTGAACTCCCCCCACCACACTCTCTCCATAGGTGAGTCCTCGCATCCCTGCACCACCCTTCACACTCTAACTGCGCCCCCCCCCAATTCTCACAGCTTTCCCCCCGGCCCCCAACCCCATGCCCTTTATGCCTTCTTAACTCCCCATTAACCTGTCCTGTCACCTTCAGGAATCTGTGGGTTCCTCTGAGCTTCCTAATGTCCTGCCATTCATCGAATACCCCCTTGTCCTGTTATGCCCTCCAATGTGCATCACCGCACACTTATTAGGGTCAAGTTCCATCTGCCCATCTGATCAATTCATCTACCCGCCTGACCTCCTTCTGACAAAACTGAGCTGACTATCCCTGTTCAACCCCTGTCTCTCTACATGGAGATTAATTTTGTCCTTCAGAATGCTCTCCAATACTTTCCCCACCACTGATGGGAGTCTCACTGGTCTGTAGATCTATCTCTACCACCTTCTTGTAAAATGGAACCACAATAGCTGTCCTCCAGTCCTCTGGCACCTCTCCTCTGACCAGGCAGCATTTAAAAATTTGGGTCCTGTAATTTCCTCCTTTATCTCCCCCCAGGAAACTGGGATACAACTCATCTGGGCCTTGTCCACTTTTAGCCCTGCCAAAACCTCCTCACTCCCAATGTCAGTCCGCTCAGGAACCTCACAGTCCCTCTTCCTGACATCCTCCTCCTACAGAGTGAAGACAGATGTGAAGTGATTCTACCAATGATCTCCAGCTCCACAAACAGATTACTCTGTTGGTCCCTACTCTTTTACTAGATATTCTTTTCCTCTTGATATACCATCTTGGGATTTTCTCTAATCTTACCCACCAGTGTTTCTCATCCCCATCTTTACTCTCCCCATTACTGTCTAAGGCACTGTTTAAGCACAGAATTTTCTACTCTCCACTAGGGTTTCCATTGATTTGTTCCCTTTGGACCTGTTAAAAATCTTTTTTCCTTCTCACATGCTGAGATTGCTGGAGTTCCCTGGGCTTGTTGCTCCTATATTTCACCCTAAAGGGAAAATGTTGGGCCTGTACTTCCCCCATTTCTATTTTGAAGCCCACCCCAATGTTCTGCTGTAGATTTACCCAGAAGTAGCTGTTCCCAAGTTACTTTGGTAAGATCATGCCTTATTTTAATAAAAATCTGCTTTCCCCCAATCCAAAACCCTTTTTTGTCAACTGTGTTTTTCCTTTTTCATAATTAATGATTGCTTGTTAGTAATCAGGATACTGAGATAAATTGTGCTTTGGTTTACACTTCAAGCTGTTTATGTACCCAGGAACATAGGAACAATGCAAACATTTTAAGGTCGATACCTGATCTTTAAAAACATATCATTAAGCAGATGGTGATTGTTTGAAATGCCAGCAGTTTTTCTGAGACTGCTTTGTTTGTTTACAAATCCTCCCCTGGTCTCCATAATTGCTTCTAACTCTACAACCACCTGAGATTTCTGTTCTCCTCCAATTCTGGCCCCTTGAACGTCCCTGATTTTAATCAATCCACCATTAGCAGCTGTGTTTGCAGCTGCCAAAGCCAGTTGGGCTGGAAATGCCTCCCTAAACCTCTCAGCCTCTCGATCTCCTTCTCCTCCGACACTCCTTAAAATCTACCTCCTCGAGATCATCTGCCTGAGCAGCTTGCTCACATTGTGTTTATAACTCCGAGATGTTTTGCTGTGTTGGACACACCAGAGAAATTCAGGCCATTGTTGTTGCTAAGTGTATGTGAAAGCTTCCCCCTCACTTGTTACAGTTTAGTTTTCATTGTAAGCAAACTTTCAAAGTATTGAGATGGCTTTAGCCATCATTTTGGCTGATGGCTGGTTTTCCTTTTCTTTAACTTAGAGATGCATCGGCTAAATCTGTGTGCAAGCTCGCATACCTGAACTAAGACCAGTCAATTTAGTATAGGTTAGGTGGCCTTGCTACACTTTTTAAAATTCATTTGTGGGATGTGGGCATCACTGGCCAGGCCAGCTTTTATTGCCTGTCCCTAGTTGCCCCTTGAGAAGTGGAGGTGAGCTGCCTTCTTGAACCGTTGCAGTCCACCTGCTGCTTCAATGCCGTTAGGGAGGGAATTCCGGATTTTGACCCAGCAACAGTGAATGAACAGTGATATATTTCCAAGTCAGGATGGTGAGTCACTTGGAGGGGAACTTGCAGGGGGTGGTGTTCCCAAGTATCTACTGCCCTTGTCCTTCCAGATGGAAGTGGTTGTGGGTTTGGAAGGTGCTGTCTGAGGATCTTTGGTAAATTTTGGCAGTGCATCTTTTTACTGAGCGTCGGTGGTGGAAGGAGTGGGATGTTTGTGGATGTGGTGCTAATCAAGCAGCTGCTTTGTCCTGGATAGTATTGAGCTTCTTGAATGTTGTTGGAGCTGCCCCCATCCAGGCAAGTGGGGAGTATTCCATCACACTCCTGACTTGTGCCTTGTAGATGGTGGACAGGCTTTTGGGAGTCAGGAGGTGAGTTGCTCGCTGCAGTATTCCTAGTCTCGGACTTGGTCTTGTGTTAATGTGGCGAGTCCAGATGAGTTTCTGGTCAATGATAACGCCCAGGATGTTGATACTGGGGGATTCAGTGATGGTAACACCATTGAATGTCAAGGGGCGGTGGTTAGATTGTCTCTTATTGGTAATGGCCATAGATTGGCATTTGTGTGACGTGAATGTTACTTGCCACTTGTCAGCCCAAGCCTGGATATTGTCCAGATCTTGTTGCATTTGAACATGGACTGCTTCAGTATCTGAGGAGTCACAAATGGTGCTGAACATTGTGCAAACATCAGCCACCATCCCCACTTCTGACCTTGTGTAGAAACATAGGTAGGAGCAGTGGGAGGCCATTCGGCCCTTCAAGCCTGCTCCATCATTCATCACAATCATGGCTGATTGTCCAAATCAATAGCCTAATCCTGCTTTCTCCCATAACCTTTGATCTCATTCCCCCCAAGTGCTATATCTAGCCGCCTCTCTAATAAATTCAATGTTTTGGCATCAACTACTTCCTGTGGTAAAGAATTCCACAGGCTCACCACTCTTTGGATGAAGAAATGTCTCCTCATCTCTGTCCTAAATGGTCTACCCTGAATCCTCAGATTGTGACCCCTGGTTCTGCACACACCCACCATCGGGAACATCCTCCCTGCATCTACCCTGTCTAGTCCTGTTAGAATTTTATAATTCTCTGAGATCCCCCCCTATTTGTCTGAACTCCAGAGAAAACAATCCAAACCTAGTCAATCTCTCCTCATACATCAGACCCGCCATCCCCACAATCAGCCTGGTAAACCTTCGCTGCATTCCCACGAGAGCAAGAGCATCCTTCCTCAGAAAAGGAGACCAAAACTGTACACAATATTCCAGATGTGGTCTCACCAGGGCCCTGTATAACTGCAACAACACATCCCAGCTCCTGTACTCGAAACCTCTCGCAATGAAGGCCAACATACCATTTGCCTCTTTACCGCCTGCTGCACCTGCATGCTTACCTTCAGCAATTGGTCCACAAGGACACCCAGGACCCACTGCACACTCCCCTCTCCCAATTTACAGCCATTCAGGTACTAATTTGCCTTCTTGTTTTTGCTTCCAAAGTGAATAACCTCACATTTATCCAAATTATACTGCATCTGCCATTGATTTGCCCACTCACCCAACCTGCCCAGATCATGCTGAAGGATCTCTACATCCTCGTCATAATTCACCCTCCCACCCAACTTGGTATCATCTGCAAACTTGGAGATGTTACATTTTGTTCCCTTATCCAAATCATTAATATATATTGTGAATAGCTGGGGTCCCAGCACCGATCCCTGTGCCACCCCACTAGTTACTGCATGCCAATTTGAAAATTGACCCATTAATCCCTACTCTTTGTTTCCTCTCTGCCAACCAGTCCCCTATTCATTTCAATACACTTTCCCCAATCCCATATATGTTTATCTTCCACATTAATCTCTTACGTGAGACTTTATCAAATGCTTTCTGAAAGTCCAAATATACTACATCGACTGACTTCCCCTTGTCAACTCTGAGTCACATCTTCATAGAATCCCAACAGATTTGTCAAGCATGATTTCCCCTGCATAAATCCATGCTGACTGTCTGACCCTGACACTGCTTTCTAAATGCTCCACTATAAAGACCTTGATAATGGATTCGGGAGTTTTCCCCACTACTAATATTAGGCTTATTGGCCCATAATTCTCTGTTTTCTCTCTACCTTCCTTTTTGAATACTGGAGTGACATTAGCCACCCCCCAATCTGCCAGAGTCTATAGAATTCTGGAAGATGATCACTAATGCAGCCACTAATTCTAGAGCCACTTCCTTAAGTACTCTGGGATGTAGATTATCAGGCCCTGGGGATTTATCAGCCTTCAATCCAAACAATTTTCCCAGCACCATTTCCCTGCGAATATTGATCTCCGTCAGTTCTTTCCTCTCACTAAATCTTGCATTCTCCAACAAGTCCAGTATCTGATTGTGTCCTCTTTTGTGAAGATGGAACCACAGTATGTATTCAGTTCCTCAGCCATTTCTTTGTCCCATATTATACATTCCCCTGTTTCTGTCTGTAGGGTATCTACATTTGTCTTTACCAATCTCTTTCTCATCACGTACCTATAGAAACTCTTAACGTCAATCTTTATGTTCCCTGCAAGTTTACTTTTGTACTCTATTTTCCCCTTCTTAATCTATCCCTTGGTCCTTCTTTGAATTCTAAACTGTTCCCAATCCTCGGGCATTATTTTTCTTGGCCAATCTGTATGCTTGTTCCTTGGATCGGATATTATCTCTTATTTCTTTTGTAAACCATGGATCGGCCCTCTGACCCATTTTGCTTTTGTGACAGACAGGAATAAACAGCGTTGTAGTTCCCCATGGGGTGGAGGGAAGGTCATGATGAAGCAGCTGAAGATGTTTGGGCCTAGGACACTACGCTGAGGAACTCCTGCAGAGATGTCCTGGACACTGCCTGCAGTGTGCAGAGATGTGCAGGCTAGGTGGGTTGGCCATGGGAAAACGCAGGGTTAGGGTAGTGGGTGAGTCTGGGTGGGATACTCTTCAGAGGGTCAGTGTGGACTCTATGGGTCGAATGGCCTGGTTCCACACAATAGGGATTCTATGACAAAAATGGAATGGTTCAGTTCTATAGCCCAGACATGAAATCTGCCACATCCTGGTCCTTTGTCTTAGAGGAGCAAAATAATGCTTTTAGCCATTTAGCTCAGGCCTGAGTCACCAGTTAGCAATCAACTAAATTGGACTATGTTTGTATCTTAGACAGCTTCCAGTGATGAGCCATCCTATTACTGATGATAATTATCAGGAAGGATTTAACAGGCTGGGACTCCTTTCTGTACAAAAGAGAAAACTGTGATAGTGATCTTTAAGATTCTCGAGGGGCTTGATCAATATGATGAAGAGTTTGTGGGAGAGACCAGAAATAGCAATTATCAATATCTCTAATCCAATCGGGAATTTGGGAGAAAATTCCTTCCCAGGAGATTGGTGAGAATGTGGAACTCTGTGCTTCAGGAAGGGGTTGAGGTGAGCAGAATCGAAGAATTAGAAAGGAAACTGCACAAACACATGAGGGAGAAAGGAATTGAAGAAGTGAGATGATGCAGGTTGAAAAAGAGTCTCCTGCAGATTATAAACAGTGGCACAGACCAGTTTCTGTGCTGTAAATATGATGTCAGTCAATTGATCTGAGTGGTCAGCTTTGTTCCAGATTTACTGTGCTCAGTCCTCACAGTCAATTCCAGTGCTTTGTCACAGCAATTAAGAAATCTCAACAGGCTCATTTCTTTTGCACCTTGTTGAATCTCCTCTTCTTGTTTCTTGTACCAGGCTGCAGAAAGTTCAGACTTGCGTGCTGTTTGGATGGAGTTCCTGTGGAAGGCCATGCAGCTTCCCGGACCAGGGAAGAAGAATTCAGCGTGTACCTGGTGAGCTTTTCCCAGCAGCAAGTTTTCCTTGTCATCCAGGACCTTAGCCTGGAGTAAACCAGAAAGGATTAGACTTCTGACCAGTCGTTGAACTATTAAGCATAGAGAGAAACTTGTCATTCACCCCTGTACCAGTTCTTAGAAAGAGCTTTCCGATTTTACCAGAGTGCAGTTTCCTTCCCATAACCCCAAAGATTGTTCATCTTCAAAAGCACATCCACTCACCACACTCTCTCGGGGACTGTCTTTCACATTGTAGCAATGAGCCACATAAAATTTTTCTTAACCTGAATTCCCCACTGGTTCATTTACCAAACACCTTAAAGTGCCTCCTCACTTCCCCTCAGGGTTTCTTGCCAATTGTTTCAAAGCTGCTTCTCAACCTGCTGTCCAAAAGAAAATATCCTTGCTCATTTTGAATCCAGAATGAATTGAAAATAAGTATTGGGAAGAAATGATTTATTCTAAATGTTGAATCCTTGGAATAATCCTACAGATGGAGTAATACAGAGAAAACCATTGGGAGAAATTTGAATTGGAGTTGGATGCTGTGGTGGGGAGGTTAGGGACCTAAAGAACCATCAATATCTTGTAATCGGTCACTAATACACACTGAGAGAGGACGTTGTTAAAATCTGTCAGAGATTTCATTGAGAACAGCAGCAATACTTGCTTGATATGGAAATGCTTCCATTCAAAGCAGACATGGATGGAAAAAATGTACCTGATCTAAATCCAATCCCAGAATGAAGGGGCAAACATATCAGAATTTACAATGTGGCAGTAAAGTGACAAAGTGCAGGACCCAGTAAGATGTGAAACTAGGAAAATATACACTTTTCTTCAGCCATCTGTCCATTCTGTTTAAAAAAAATTGTAAGTCTTCAAGATTGGTACAGAGTCTATGTATGTGTGTGAAAGAAAATTATGTTTGAAGGTGCCAATGGTGGAAAGGGGCTTATGCATGTTGTAAAAACACAGATAACACAGTGTGGAGCTGGAGGAACACAGCAGGCCGGGCAGCATCAGAGGAACAGGAAAGTTGACATTTCGGGTCGGGATCCTTCTTCAGAAGTGGGGTCCTGACCCAAAATGTCAACTTTCCTCCTCCTCTGATGCTGCCTGGCCTGCTGTGTTCCTCCAGCTCCACACTGTTGTCTCTGACTCCAGCATCTGCAGCTCTTACTATCTCTTGTAAAGACACACATTGTGTTTTTGAGAGCAAGAGAATTATAGACAGAGATGGATAATGAGAATGTGAGAAAGACTGATTTAAAGAATAATGTGAGAATGTCTGTATGCTTCCGTTTGAGGGAAGCACCGAGACAGGTTGTACACATGAGGAGTGAGATGCCTGTGTTAGGTTGAACTATATTTTTCGTGCAGTGGGAAGTTCTCCTGGTTTGAGAAAGCCTTCACGCTGTATCTCTGCCTCCCATTCCCAGGCATGACATCCCCTGCCTTATTGAACGAGCAGCTTCTCTTTGCGAGGACACAGACAAACTACAGGTTCCGTCGAGGCTGTTCAGGTCCTCAGACCCACTGAGTCATGACTTCATCTCAGCCACCGCACATCTCCACAAATCTCCAGCTGCCCCTCCGGAAACTCTGCTGAAGAAGTGTTCAGACATTTTTGGTCAGTCACAAAGTTCTGATGGAAGAATTGGATGCTGGCTTTGAGACTGAAGTTAATTTGTCAGTGGTTAATTTATTAATGATGGTGTCTGATGTCTAATTGCAGATGAACCTTACTATGTGAACTCTAGTAGTGTAACATTGTCCAGTACCGGGGAGGAGGATGTGGATTATGAAACCATACACTTCTCCAAAGGTAACAGTGTGAATTTCGGGACTGTACAGTGTTTGTTTACTTAATTTGCTGAACTTAATATGAAATTATTTAAGTTAATTGTGCCATTTCCATGGTTCCGTTGGGTTTTGTAAGTGGATTCCTGCTCTCAGTCTGGTTCTTGAAACAGGTCCGAGAGCAGCAAGACGGCAGTGATATCCTCTCCCCACCGGCTCCTCACCATCCCTCCTTTTCCTCAGACTATGCAGATATCTGAGGCTTGTAATAAATCTGAAGGAACACTGAGAGTGGGCTGGAAGCAGGGGAGGGTGTGACAGCTATACCCCTTCCCTCCCCTTCACTCCTCTCCTCCCCCTCACTCCTCACACCCCTCTCTAGGATGTTGCTTCTACACTGGACTCACCAACCAGCTGTAAGTACAAAATGAGCAATGTGTTTAGTATTGCATTGTGGGTCCGTTAGCTCGGTTGGCTGGGACTAACAGCTGATGCGTGACAGAGTAACACTAACAGCGTGAGTTCCATTCCTGCTCCAGATGAGGTCATAACCATGAGGACCCTTATTCTCAACTTCTCCTTCACCTGAGGCATGGTGACCGTCAGGTTAAACCACCACCAGTCATCTCTCTCTCTCTGTAATGAGAGAGCAGCCCCATGGGGCTTAGCTATGTAAAGGCATCATGATAAACTGAGTCAAAATCTGTTTCCTGGAGTGTGTGCTGCCACATTAAGGGCTATTGTAGAAAATTAAAGCTCATGGTATCAGCAGAAATATATTGACAGAAGGTTAGCTGGCTCACAGAAGGATGTTAGGCATAGATGGGTCTTTTCCTGATTGGGAACGTATCAGAGGTAGTGTGCCACAACCATTTAGATAAATGATTTAAATGATGTGACAAAAGGTATGGGAGCTAAATTTACTGTTGACACAAAGATCGGTAGGAAAGTGAGTTGTGAAGATGGATATAGCTTGGGTAAGTGAGTGTGTAAAAATCTGGTAAAGGGAATATGTTGTGGGAAATGTGATAGTGTCCATCTTGAAATTTTAAAAAATATGCTTATTATCTAAATGACAAGAGATTGCAAAGGGATCAGGGTGTCCTAGCATATAAATTGCAAAGAGCTAGTATGCAGATCCAGCAAGTAATTTGGAAAGTTAATAGTGTTTATCATTCATTGTGAGGGGAGTCAAAGGAAAAAAGTGGGAAGTTATGCTTCAGTTATATCGAGCATCGGTGAGGCTACATCTCGAGTACTGTGGATGGTATTGGTCTCCTTATTCAAGGAAGGTGCAAATTTGTTGGAAGAAAATCTGAGATGGTTTACCAAACTAATACATGCAATGAGCAAGCTGTCTTATGAGGAAAGATTGGACAGGCTGAGTTTATATCTGCTGGGTTTTTGAAGAGGCAATTTGATTGAACTGTATAAAATCTTGAGGGGTTTTGACAACGTAGATGAGGAGACAGTGTTATCTCTTGCAGGAGGATCTAACACTGAAGCTCACTGTTTACAAATAAGAGGTCACTCAGTTAAGGTAAAGAAGAGGAATTGTTTTTTTCTCACAGGTGTTTGTGAGTCTTCCTCAAAAAGTGATGGGAAGCAAAGTTTTTTGGCTATTTTTAAGGCAGAGGTTGATAGATTTGTGATAATCACGGGGGTGAAAGACTGCCTGGAGTTAGTAGAAAAATGGAGTAACCAGATCAGCCATGGCCTTATTGAATGGTGGAGCAGGATTGAAGGGCAGAGTGGCCTACTCCTGCTCCTTGTTCATAAGGTTCATCAAATGAAGAGGAACTGCTCCTGTAGTTTATAAGGTCCAGTGGATGTAAACTTTTCAGTTTGTTTCCATAAACCACAATAATCATTGACCAGGTGGCATATTGTAGCACACTCCAGTAAGCAGCTGCTCTGGGCCATTTCCTGATGCTATATTTTACATGCCATTTGCAATTACATAAGGGAATTAGAGATGGTCACTGGAGGTAAGACTTGTGTCCAAATGAATGAATTGCATTCTAAATGAATGGTGGAAGAGACTCAAGGGGCTAAATGACTTCCTCGTATTTCTGGAAGCCTATGTACCTGTTGCTCCCAAAGTCAGCTATCTTAGGGAACTGATAGATATGGGACAACACCTTGAAATTATCAACAGCCTACAATTGGGGTTTCACTGGCAACACCTTCTCTAGGGCCCTGCCAATCTCTCCTCTTGGATTTATTCATGACACCAATATTATTGGGACACTTCCATTTTACATCCATCATTAACACCACTGACCAAACCTTGTTGAGTTGTCACAGTTCCCTCTCCAATAGGCGAGTGGATACAGTCTATCCATTGTACCCTGAAGGTGGCAACGCAGGTCGATAGAGTGGTCAAGGTGGCATACGGCATGCTTTCGTTCATCGGACGGGGTATTGAGTACAAGAGTTGGCAGGTCATGTTACAGTTGTATAGGACTTTGATTCGACCACATTTGGAATACTGCGTACGGTTCTGGTCGCCACATTACGAAAAGAATGTGGATGCTTTGGAGAGGGTGCAGAGGAGGTTCACCAGGATGTTGCCTGGTATGGAGGGTGCTAGCTATGAAGAGAGGTTGAGTAGATTAGGATTATTTACATTAGAAAGATGGAGTTTGAGGGGGGACCTGATTGAGGTCTACAAAATCATGAGAGGTATAGACAGGGTGGATAGCAAGAAGCTTTTTCCCCAGAGTGGGGGACTCAGTTACTAGGGATCATGATTTCAAGGTGAGAGGGGAAAAGTTTAAGGGAGATATGCGTGGAAAGTTCTTTACGCAGAGGGTGGTGGGTGCCTGGAACGCATTGCCAGCAGAGGTGGTAGAGGCAGGCACGATAGCGTCATTTAAGATGTATCTGGACAGATACAGGAATGGGCAGGGAGCAGAGGGATACAGATCCTTGGAAAATAGGTGACAGGCTTAGATAGAGGATCTGGATCGGCGCAGGCTTGGAGGGCCGAAGGGCCTGTTCCTGTGCTGTAACTTTCTTTGTTGTTCTTTGTTCTATCCAAACACGTGCTTTAATCTCGACAGAGGTGAGATCAGAAACTTTTTTTTAACACGGTGAATCATTCTGGTCAGCAATGCACCTGAAAAGAGCAGTAGAGCAGTCTCAATAATATCTTTTCGAAGGTGTGTTCAGGGAAGTGTGCAGGATTATTGCAAGAAAAAACAAGAAAGTGGAACTGATAGGATGGCTCTTTGATAGAGACTGTATAACCATGATGGTCGGCATGGAGTTCAAGAACAGTAAATAGCCCAAGTGACCTGCCTATCTGCTCAATTGCAGCTGCTCTGTTTCTTAACACCTGCCTTATAGCCTGCAATATCCTTTTCCAACAAACATGATGTCTTTATTTGCTGTAGAATTCCATATTCTTAGAATAAGGTTACACCCACCAAGATGAGGGATTTCACAGCCAAGGAATAGCATCCTTCACACTTTCAGAAACCCAGCATTGGATCCGACTCCCTACTGGACCAGGTGTTGTGCTGCCAGCTGCTTCTTGCATGCTATAAAAGATGTCTGACTCGCAGAGCAGAGACCGGGCTGTCCCTGCTGCACTACTCGCATCCGCTTCGGAGTGAGATTCTAATTTGTGTCGAGGTTATTTGGAAATTTGTTGCCCCATGCTCCTAATGACCAGCCGAGGATTATCTAAAAGTGCTATAATGATGATCGTGTGTGTATGGTCAGAGTGACCAGGAAAGGAAGTGCTGAGTGATACAAGGATGAAGGAAGATCAGTGTGAAGCTGTGGCAGTGCGTAAAGGAAAGACATGTTAACTGGGCAGAGAGGAACAAAGAGGAAACAAGCATTCAGGACAAGGAGCTGCAGTTGATATTCTTAGCGAAATGTGCCACCCAGTCACCTTTGTAATGAAATGACATTTATTTGCATTGTAAGACGTTCTTACGAATTCAGTCTGAAGGGTCTAGGCCCGAAACGTCAGCCTTTCTGCTCCTGTGATGCTGCTTGGCCTGCTGTGTTCATCCAGCTCTGCACCTTGCTGTCTTGGAGGTCTGACTAACTGATTCTAGAAATAGAAAATTCTTCTGTTTATCTCAAACCAATGTGGGCTGTGTATTTCTGTGAAACAAAACTGAACTATAAGTGCATTAAACAGCAATAACCTGTTGACTGTGGACTGCTTTGTAGAGAGATTGTTTTTCCCAGATGCAGACAGCTGTTCAAACTGCTGTCATCACTATTTACTGAATAGCTCAATCTGAATAGCTCTTAGGAGTCCAAAAGGATCTGTTCCCACAGAGAGAAAAAAACACCTTATATTTCTACAGGGTTGATCAGGGCCTCTCAACATTCCAAAAACCTTTAAAATCAATGTGGTACTTTGAAAATACCATCACTATTGATAGGTAGGAAATACAGCAGCATATTTATGTATAGCAAGTTCCTACAAATAGCAATGTAATAATGACCAGATAACGAACTGGTTAAGGGATAACTGTTAATCCAGGATTCCAGAGAGACCCATCTTTTCTGACCGGATTCATCTACACAAACATAGCGTCTTATCTACGCTTAACAAATAAGAGATTGTCCTCCCCATCCTGACCGATTGAACCACGTGTGCAGCTGTGAAACACTCCTCTTACTCAACAAACCAGACATTGCATTTAATGTTTGGCTTGATGATCTTTTCTTTCATTTATAGATGTCACATGTAACCAGCTCCCAAATAAAGGGGAGTTGAAGACAGACGTTGCTCGGAGTCCACGGTCTGAGGTTCCTGACAAAGGTACATGTATTAACACTGCCTTTTAAATGGAATTAAAATGTTGTTGCATACCAACATATGAATGAGCCTAGAAATATTTTCCAGCAATTAAAGAAACACTGTAGAGCTACACTTCCAGTCTGCACCAATCTCAAACCACATATAGCAGAGTTATGTTCATTGTACTAAACAAACAAAGGATCTGTGTGCATCATAATTCAATGCAGATAGAAATCTTCATAAATGTACGTGCAGAGTTCAGTACGGTTTACCTAAATGTACATGTGAGTATCTATCAGTCCACACTGGGCTCTATCCATTCTGCATGTACCCATAAGTCTGTGTATATTTCATCTCAATATACACATGGGGTTATGTGTACCTGATTTAAGTATGTACACAGGTCTCTGTATATTATGTACTGATGCAGAGTTCTGCTCCTAAAGCTCTGGAAATTATTCAAGTATATAATGTTGTTATTTAGTCTCAACTGCCCAGGCACCTGCATAAAATGACCCCATTCCTCATCCATTCTTCTTTCCCTCACAAGCAGTTGGCCGCATCGCCACAGCTCCCCTGCTCCACCCCCACCTCCCCACACCCGCCACCCACCCGCCCACCCTCCCCGACCAAGACTGTGGCAGTGCAGCTGAAATCAGCAACTTAGCAGCATGGAGAGGAAAACTTGGTTCCCACAGCCAGAGCATCAGAAACTGTGCTTCCCCTGAGACAGAGAGACAGCGAAAGAGAGAAAAAGAAAGGAGATTCCGATATCCTTAGGCTATTGTAATTTTCTCAGCGGGTCTTTGCAGAGAAATATCGTTAAAGACTTTGTGAGGAGCAAGTGTCTCCTGATCCCTCTGTGGCTGAAGACAGTGGTGGGGGAGAGGGGGAGAACAAGAGGAAGATATTATGTGGTTAATGTTTTTAGTCCCTGATGTATATTCATGACTTTGTCTTTTTTTCTTGTCAGTGAATTGTCAGAGTGGGATTTATGATGTTCCTAAATCCTTTGCGAAGTTAAAGATTGACTCCAGTAAGTAATTGTCTTCCTTTCTGAATCTCCTTCGTACTCCTATCTTGATGGCAGCGATTCCTCCTTTTACAGCAGTTTCAGGAACACCCTCAGCTCCTCACTGTCCAACTGTGACCTCGACAGTGTGTGTGAGTGGGCTATCCCAACAGGGAAGGCATCGCAGCTGAGGCACATTCCATTTATGTGTATTTATTCTATAGTGGTTTCTTGGCACTGCTACCTCTCAGTCCCCCGAAATACCAAGCATGGTACATCTATCATGTCACATCCAATGCAGTGTCTCCAGTGCGGTCAATCCAGTGTGGTGGCATCAAAAAGCCTGGATTGCCAATTTGGAGGAAGTTGTGCTTCAGTTGCAAAGCCTTGATCACACTCCAACAGAGTAACTGCACTGAGTTTTCGAGTCACTGCACCTCCAGTCAGATTTATTGGCCACGAATAGCTGGCAGCACCTTCCCCAGAATATTACAAGGGTTTAAAGAATGGACACAATGTGTAGAAAGTTGGGGAATGGTGCAAGGAACAAAGAGAACAAAGAACAGCACAGCACAGCACATGAATAGGCCCTTCAGCCTTTCTAAATGAACCCCTTGCCTTAACACAGTCCATATCCCTCTATTCCCTTCCTATCACATATGTCAAGATGCCTCTTAAGTGCTGCTATTGTGTCTGCCTCCACTACCACCCCTGGCAGCACATTCCAGGCACTCACCACTCTGTGTAAAAAAAAAAACTTGCCTTTCACATCTCATTTGAACTATTCCCTTTTTACCTTAAACCTATGACCTTAGGAATTGTCATTTCTACCCTGGCAAAGAAGGCTGTGACTATCCATTCTATCCGTGCCTCCGTCATCATTTTGTAAACCTCTGTTAGGTTGCACCTAATCCTTCAATGGACAAACTTGGCTAGTTATCACTTGAACAATCTCTTCTCACAGCTAATACCCTCCAAACAGGCAACGTTCTGGTAAACCGTTTCTGTACCATCTCCAAAGCCTCCACATCCGTCTGGTAGCATGGTGACCAGAACTGTACATATTTCAAATATGGCCTAACTAAAGCTCTATACAGCTGCAACACGACGTGCCAATTTTTATACTTTATGTAGTATAAGAGTATACTTTTACACTGACCAACGTAGGTAAACATGACATACAGCTTCTTGACCATCTTATCCACTTATGTTGCCAATTCCAGGGAAATGTGGACCTGTACAGCTAGATCCCTCGGTATGTTGATGCTCCTAAGGGTTCTGCTATTTACTGTATACTTCCCTCCTGCATTAGATCTCCCAAAATGGATCACCTCATATTTCCGGATTAAACTCCATCTACCATTTCTCTCCCAAGTTTCCAGCCTATCTATATCCTCCTGTATCCTTTGGCAATCCTTCTGACTATCTGCAGCTCTCCAAATCTTTGTGTTGTCCACAAACTTATTCATCAGACCACCTACATTCTCCTCCAAATCATTCATATATGTTACAACAACAAGGGTCCCAGCACCGATCCCTGCAGGACATCACAGGTCACAGATCTCCAGTCAGAAAAACACCCTTCCACTGTTACACTTATTCTTCTATGACCAAGCCAGTTCTGTATCCATCTTACCAACTCGCCAAGGGTCCCATGTGACTTCACCTTTTGTATTAGCCTGCCATTAAGTACCTTGTCAAAGACCTTGCTAAAGTCCATATAGACAACATCTACTCTCCTGCTTTCTTCAATCATCTTTGTCACTTCCTCAAAAAAACTCAATCAAGTTTGTGAGACATGACCTTCCCTACACAAATATTATCACTAATAAGTCCATATTTTTCCAAATGAGTAAATCCTATCCATAAGAAACTTCTCCAATAATTTCCCTACAACTGATGTAAGGCTCACCAGTCTGTAATATTGCAGATTATCCCTGTTGCCCTCTTTAAACAAAGGAATGGCACTGGCAATTCTCCAGTCATCTGAGACCACTCCTGTGACTAAAGAGAATGCAAGGATGTTGCCTGGTATGGAGGGAAGGTCTTATAAGGAAAGGCTGATGGACTTGAGGCTGTTTTCGTTAGAGAGAAGAAGGTTAAGAGGTGACTTAATAGAGACATACAAGATGATCAGAGGATTAGATAGGGTGGACAGTGGGAGCCTTTTTCCTCGGATGGTGATGGCTAGCACGAGGGGACATGGCTTTAAATTGAGGGGTGATAGATATAGGACAGATGTCAGAGGTAGGTTCTTTACTCAGAGAGTAGTAAGGGCGTGGAATGCCCTGCCTGCAAAAATAGTAGACTTGCCAACTTTAAGGGCATTTAAATGGTCATTGGATAAACATATGGATGATAATGGAATAGTTTAGGTTAGATGGGCTTTAGATTGGTTTCACAGGTCAGCGCAACATTGAGGGCCGAAGGGCCTGTACTGCGCTGTAATGTTCTATGTTCTAAAGATTTTATACAAAGCCCCAGCAATTTCCTCACTGACCTCCCTTAGCATTCTGGGATAGACTGCATCAGATCCTGGGGGCTTGTCTACCTTATTGCTTTTTAAAACACCCACTTTTTTATATTGACATGCCCCAAAATATCAATGTACCCCTCCCAAAACTCACCATCAACCATGTCCTTCTCCTTTGTGAATACCAATCTAAAGTATTCATTAAAGTCCTCATCCACTTCCTCTGATCCCACGCATAAATTCCCTCCTCTGTCCTTGAGTGGACCTACCCTTTCCCTAGCCACCCTCTTGCTTGTTGTCCATTCAAAATTCCTTGGGATTTTCTTTAATCCTGTTTGCCAAAGTCATTTCATGGCCCCTTTTAGCCCTCTTAATTCCTCCTAAGAATCTTTTCCAATAATTTCCCTACCACTGATGTAAGGCTCACTAGCCTGTAATTTCCCAGATTATCCCTGTTGTCCTTCTTAAACTAAGGAAGATTGGTTATTCTCCAGTCTGATTGTAAATAAGTTATAATTTATGAGGATAGGTTACATAAACGTATCTGGCATTCCCTGTATTGAGAAGATTGAGGGTGATCAGATCAAGGTTTTTACAATGTTATTGGATTCAGCAGGGTAGATACAGAGAGACTGCTTCCTCTGGTGGGAATCAAAGAAATAAAGCAACATTCGAGTGAGTTTGTTCAATAGTGAAGGTAACCCAAAAGGATTTAGAAATCTGGAGTTATCTCCCACATAAGACTGTAGGGAAGCTAAGGAAGTTGGAACTTTTAGGGTTGAAATGGGTGTGTTAATGTTAGATAAAACTATGGAGGGATAAGGAGCAAAGATATGCCAATGAGTTGAGATGTACAGATCAGGAATGATGGAACTGATTAGTAAAACAGGCTTGAGGAGCTGAGTGCCTTCCTCCTGTCCTAAGAACATTGTAGAACTGTACAATTCCCTGCTCCACCCTTACTGCTTTGTATTGAGAGTGTGACATGGAGGAACTCCATGCCAGAGCAAAGCACTTCGAATGTCCTACTGTTGAGATCCCTATCTCAGCTATGTTGGTGGATTCACATCCCTCTGTACTGCCCTGAAGCTGCAGCAGCATCCATGCTGTCTGAGGAGGACACTCCCACCCATTGCCCTGGAATTGAGGAGTTGGGGGGGTGGGCTGGGGGGCCATGGTACATGGAGTAAGAGGAAACAGTCGTTTGGATGAGGTTAACAGAGAGGTTGGATCAGGGCAATGTGTTGATGTGGTGCACATTGACTTCCAAAAGGTGTTTGAGAAAATGCTACATAACAGCCTTTGCAGCATAATTGCTTTTTGTGAGGTACACTAATAGAATAGACTTGGGCAGACCCATGGTAAACAAAACTTAAAGCAGGGAAGTGTGAAGTAAAATATTTTGATCAGACGAACAAGAAGTGGTAATTAAAAAAGAACAGAAAATTGTAGAAGAAATGTGGGAAAAGAGAGACCTGACCGCATATGTGCACAACTCCCTGGAAACTGAAAAGCAAGTTGAGCAAATGGTTAAAAGGCTGTATGGAATTCTGAGCTATATAAATATAATACAATAAGAAGGAAGTTGTGGTGAAGCTTCATAACAGATGGATTCAGCCTCAACTGGTATATTCTAACTAATTGTGACACTTTAGGGATGATGTGGAGGTATTTGAGAGAGTGCAGGAGAATGGTTCCAGGGACAAGTGATTTCAGTTATATGGATAATTTAGAGAAGCTGGGGCTATTATTCTTTCAGAAGATTGAGAGGAAATATGAGAGTTATTCAAAAACATGAAGGGCCGAGACAGCAAAGAAAGAACCAGTTCTTATTGGTGGAAAGTCAAGAACCAGAGGATTTCAATATAAGATTAATGCCGGCAACAACATGAAGAGAAGCTGTTTGATGCATTGGGTGGTTAGGATCTGGAATGCATTACTTGAAGATGGAGTGGAATCAGATTCAATTGTAGCTTTCAAAGAGAATTGGAAAACATCATGAAAATAAATTGTAAGACAGTGGGGGATAAGGAGGGGAGTGGGACTAGCTGAGATGCCCTTGCCAAGAGCCAGCATGGACATGACAGGCTGAATGGCCTACTTTTGTGTCATCACCCATTCTATATTTCTACACAAATGGAGAGAAGTGGGTGGATGTTGTGAATGTGAACCTTGTGATTCACTCCCAGCTCTGCCACATTTATAGCTATTTGTTCCAGTTTGCTGCTTGTTCTTATTAAAGGGTTAGCTCCTGCTGACACACAAACACTGGCAGCCTGCAGCATTTCACTCTTGCAGCATTTCTTTTTCAGGTGCAGCCAGAATACTGAATGCTCTCAGTCTCCCAGTTCCTTCTTGCTCAGGATACTGTGGTCACTTGTAAGGTTCCCGTGGTTACCTGGTGCAGCTGAAGCTATCTAACCCTGGTATACTTCAGGGAAAACAAAATAATGCAGATGCTGCAAATCTGAATCCCATTCAAACCATACTGGACTCCTAACGTTAATTCTTTCTTTCTGCACAGAGACTGCCAGCTGCTGAGTTGATCTGGCACATTTTGCTTTTGTGCCAGTATGTTTCAGCCTGATGTTTCCTCCATGTAGTTACCAACTGAAATTATCACAAAATTGTTCTCCGAGGGATACCAATAAGTCCATTGTATCTACACTGGCTCTTCAAATGGGCATCATTACCTCATGCCAATCTCCTGCTTTCTCCCCACACTCTTGCAACTATTTTGATCCAATTAATCATTTAATGCCATCTTTCCTGCTTCATTTACTTCTGTAACTCAGAGTGGTTTGGCAATCGCTGTTTTGTTTTTATTTCAGATGTTCAATCTTACACCGATAAACCAGTCACCTCCAGCTCCAATACAGGACTGTTGGATGAAGTAATTTCAGACTGCAGGATTTTGACATGCCACTGGCTGGACTCCATTGAGACACCCCAATGAGTGCAGGATACATTTGGAAACTCCTGTATCTGTCACAATGTAGGTTAGCAACTAACTACAACATTATGCCTATGGTCTGTGCCCATCTACAAACTGTTACCTGAAAGGCAACAGGAACATTATTCAAGGAGATACCCACCCATTTCTATTTTGAACTCCTCAATTTGAACAGAATCCCTACAGCGTGGAAACAGGCCCTTCAGCCCAACAAGTCCACACTGACCCTCAGAGCATCCCACCCAGACCCATCCCCTTGTAACCCACCTAATCTGCACATCCCTGAACGCCACGGGCAATTTCCCATGGTCAATCCACCTAGCCTGCACATCTTTGGATTGTGGGAGGAAACCGGAGACAACTGGAAACCCACACAGACACGGGGAGAATGTGCAAACTCCACACAGACAGTCACCTGAGGCTGGAATTGAACCTGGGTCCTTGGCGCTGTGAGGCAGTAGTGCTAACCACTGAGCCACCGTGCCGCCCCTAATTTGTTTCACTATTCATTGTTTATTAAGCTTTACTGAATCACCCATGTGCTCACTGATCAGCATTGATTCCCAGTCCAGCAATGCCACATTATGCTTATTGCAAATCCTTCCATAGGCTCACCTCTCTCTATCTCTGTAGTCTCCTTCAACCTCACAACCTTCTCTCCTCTAATTCTGGCATCTTAATATTCCTGATTTTAATCACTCCACCATTAATGGTGATGTCCACAACTATCCGGACCCTAAATGTCTTTAAGATGCTCTTTATGGACCAACCATTTGATCATGTGCCCTAATATTACCATTTGTGGATTGATATGAAATTTTATTTGATAAAATTCCTGGGAAGGCAATGGGCTCGGTTTGCAACGCCAGAACTAGCTAGGATCCAATTAACTGGGGATTTCCCTAACGTGTCTCAGCCGCACACTGAAATAGAGAATTAGTCAGGTCTGTAATTCTAATTAATGATTGTTATAAACAGACTAATGTATCAATATTGAATATGTTTCCTTGTTTCCCCCCTCCCACCCCACAATAGGAATTCATCTATTCCAACCTAATACCAATTCCAGACTGGAGAGACAAAAGGAGTTCCTACAAGAAACAAACGAAACAGCACAAAAGTACCTTCCACCTTATTTGATTGTGTAACCAAGGAGGAGGAACACACAGTCGTGCATCATTTTTATTGTCTTTATTACATGCTGAAAATATCACCTAGGTAACTACGTTGTGTACAAAGTCACTCAAGCACGCATGGAATATGTTGTAAATCAGTAATATTCAAGGAAATAATGTTTCACACAATTTGAGAGAGCCTCTGTTTCGACAATTGCTAAACTGCAAGTGTTCATGGCACATTTGAATTTGTTGTATAATATTAATTTGCCCAGTATAATGTTAAAACACTTGAGAAAATACATTTATATTAATGGTGAACCTCCTCTTTATGTGGTGGAGCTTGTTATTCAGTAATCCCATGCCAGAAGGTAACATTTTGAACAAAAGTAAATTGGAACTCTGTGTCTGCTTTATACAACTGACCATAAAATTCAGACTATTAGTTGCATCTGTGCATACACTGCTTCCTGTTTAAGTTAGGCCAGAGTACATGTTGCTGCTTTTTATAATTTACAGCAGTTGGCAGAATTCAGTGATACACAGGATTCTCTTATGAAATTTTGACCAATTTTCTTCCAACCACTCCTAAAGGTGCTGGTCCCTGTCTCAGGATTGTTCTATCTTGCTATTCCTCATCCAAGTAACCACTCTTCATGCTTATTCCTAGACAATGGGTCAGGTATTTGGCCATGAGGGCATCACAGACACTGGCCTGCACCTGTATTTCCAGCAGAGGTCGCTGGGTACTGTGATTTATTCTCCTTGTCCTCCAGATCAGGAAGGTCAGAAATCACACGACACCAGGTTATCGTCCAACAGGTTTATTTGAAAACACAAGCTTTCGGAGCAGACCTGAATAGCACCTGATGAAGGACTGAGGCTCCAAAAGCTTGTGATTTCAAATAAACCTGTTGGACAATAACCTGATGGTGTCATTTTTGACCTTGTCCACCCCAGTCCAACACCAGCACCTCCACATCTTGGATAGCATCAGCTCAGGAAGCTAGAAACTGCAGTCAACCTGCAGGAGCCATAAACACTTTATCATGGTTCTATTATAATTGTCATACCCTGAGCTCTAACTGATATCCAGCTTAATATGACTCAGGAATGAACTCAGTCAAAACTCTACATTGCACTATCACATATCACCCACGAAGAAAGTTGTACATTATCCCACCTTGAAAGTTAATCCTTTGGTGTGTTCACTGCGTTATTATCCAGCAGCATTATCTACCTTCAGCGCTGAGTGCCAGGTCTTGTTCCTGGCTGTGATCTAGGGCTCTGCTAATGATCTGGAATAAAAACAGAAAGTGCTGCAGAAGCTCAGCAGGTCCGGCCCCGTCTATACAGAGAAAAACGGAGGGAACATTCCACATCTAAATACAATTCTTCTGCAGAACTGTTAATGAGTTTCTGCAGCACTTTCTGTTTTTAACTTCACATCTCCAGCACAGAATCCCTACAGCGTGGACACAGGCCCTTTGGCCCAACAAGTCCACACCCACCCTCAGAGTATCTCACCCAGACCCATTCCCCCTAATCGACACATCCCTGAACACTTTGGGCAATTTAGCATGGCCAAACCTGCACATCTTTGGACTGTGGGAGGAAACCAGAGCATGCAAAGGAAACCCACACAGACACAGGGAGAATGTGCAAACTCCACACAGACAGTTGCCCGAGGCTGGAATCAAACCCAGGTCCCTGATGCTGTGAGGCAGCAGTTCTAACCACTGAGCCCCCATGCTGCATCTGCAGGATATTGCTTTTAATAAAGGATGTTCCCTGTGAGGGATTTTCACTTTCTCAATACAAGCTCAAATCCAGACCAGACTGAGAGCCCAGACAGAGAGCATCCAAATATCTTTTTGTCTTTGGGCTGCAAGGGGTCCAATGTGAAAACTCTTCTCCAGTCACAGATGGGACCCAAAGAAGTGCCCTAGTTGGGCACCTGTGGCTCTCTCAGTTACAGAGGGCACTAGATGGATGGCATCAGAAAGGTCAATCTTGCTCTGATGTCAGAGTTGAACATTTGGATGGGGCAAAGTAGAGTAAGATCACTCTGTATCTAAACCAGATGCATGGGACATTGATATATTTGAGAATCTCAAATGGTTCAGTGCTCTGTTCTGAGTACAAACTCTGGGCAAACCAAAAAAGTGACCATGTATCTGAGATAAGGCATTGTGAGTGTGTTCACCCTTGACTGGACTGTAGCGTTACTCAAATCTTCCTGTCCTGCAACATTTGGAATGACTGCTTTTGTTTCTGATGTAAGAATGTTGTGTATGGTGCTGTACATTCATATCAATGTGTTACAGAACTAACTGCTTCAGAACTGCAGCCTGAAGAAATATTTCTTACAGTATCAGAGCCAGACAGCCAAATTAATCAGAATACAATCCACTGTTTATAATGCACTGACTCTCCTCAGCACTCAAAGGGCACCTAACAATATAAGAGACAGGAGTAAGCCATACAGACCCTCGAACCTATTCCATCTTTCAGTTATATCATGGCAGGTCATCAGCCTTAACCCTCCTTCCCTGCTCACACCCTTCAATTCTCTGAGAGATCTAACATCTACCAGGCTCGGCCTGACATATATTCAGTGAGCGAGCTCTCACCACTCTCTGGAATAGAGAACCCAGAGATTGGGGTGGAGGACAGTGCATGGTATAGTTCCATGTTTAAGTTGTCAGGGCTGGGGCAGCACACACATCCCAATGTTTTGACTGCAGGGTTCCTCACTCTTAATATTCCACAAAAATCCTCCTGTTCACTCTGTATATGAGTCACCAATTGGCCAAACTGACCTACAGACAGACAGCCTGGGCAATGGCTCGATTCCAGAATTCTTATCCTCATTTCCAATCGCTCTGTGGTCTTACCTCTTTCCATCTCTGTAGCAAATCTTTGAGGGCTCTGTACTCCTCCAGTGCTGGCCCATTTTGTGTTGTATGTGGGTCTGAAAGGATTAATCCTGAGAAGCGTTAGAAATACCACCCAAATGAAGATGTCATTTGATCTTGTGGACACAACACTTTAGGATTTCAAGGGAGTGAGAACTGAGATCAGATCCTCCTCAAAGTCTCTAGCAATGTCCATTGTATCAATGGAATCTGAAGCAAGTTGTTAACATGATAAACTTTCTCTTGGTTAACTACAAGATGGAATTCTTCTAGTTAGACCAGGAAGTGGTTTCCTCTCTCACATGAGATTGAGAAGGCCCTCTCATTCCCCACATGAAAAGACGTTGATGGCAGTATCTTCATCAGGAGCAATAGCTCCTACAGGACACTAGGGGCAGTCTCACCTACACAACAGTAATCAGCTGCACTACAGATTTGATTTAATTGCCCATTCAACATGGTGAACAGCAGGGAAGAGCTGAGGACCTAAGAATGTACACAACAACTGCTCGTGGCAATTCTCAATAGGTCAATGATTTCAGTGAGTGGGGAAAGCATTTCAGACCTGGCATTGTAACAGCAGGGTTAACAATGCCCAGGAGAGTGGGAATGAGTGACCCTGAAGCAGATACAAGCTGCATCATGAGGTGGTCTGTGGGAGTAGTCCCGAGTCACAGCTCAGCAGTGAGCAAATAAACTCCAGAGGCTCCTTATGTAAAAGTCAGGGCCGGGGAAAGCATTGAAATGGTTCAGTAAACCAGGCTGGAAAAGCAAGAAGTTGAACAACTACTTACAGCTGAGCTCAAGCATGGTGCTACAAGTACACAGCTACAGAAACAAACATCCACAAAAGAAATATTAATCTGAGGTTCCAAACCTGGGCTCAATGAAGCTAATAATTCAAGCTACAACACTGGGCAGATTAAAAACCAAAATGGACCTAAATGAACTGGTCAGAAATTTGGGGAGATTATTCAGGTCATGAAAAAGGCAAAGGATCTTTCATTGGAATTTTTATAAAGTCAGGAAGTATTTATTTAAACCACTAGGAGTGGGAATCATTCAGTAAAACCATGATTAAAGTGGGAATCTATTACTAAAGCTGCAAACAGTGTAGCTATGAGAAAGTTTGGAATCCTCCACTTTAGCCCCAAAGCATGAGAAGATTACTGTGAAATCAAGTATTTTAAGAAAGCAAGGTATGTAATCACATTAGGAAGACAAGGCATCAGAAATAATATTGCCAGGATGAATTGACTTTGGAGAAGGATCAAATAGAACACAGAATGGACATCTTGGTGAAAAGTATTTCTGAGATAAGAATAGCTTCCAAATTAAATACTAAGTCAGAAGCTGAACAAGTAAATAAATTTCTAAACACAATTGGGAACATAGCTGATGACCTTATAGTTCACCAATGGGCAAATGTTGCATCAGATTTTTTTTGAAGCGAGACTGAAAATCTTTGCGAATTAGTTGAGCCTCTCAACTAAATAAATTCTTGAAAAAGCAAGATTTCAAACAAGAGTTCAGCCTCAGTGGAATCCATAGATGATTCCAATTGGTTTAATGAAGAATTGTTACTATAGTGTTTTCAAATCAGAATTCGTCTGATTTGTTTTTGTCAAATTTATTACAAAGAATACCTGGTTTGGAGAAAAACATTCAGAGTGAAGCCAAACTTTAGACTAGTTAGTTTAATGTCTGTTGTTGTGAAATTGTTAAAAACCATTATTAAGGAATAATTAAAGAATCCACTATTAAGCTAACTAACGGGAAACAGAAAATCAGGAAAATTGGAACTTTTTCCAGTTAGCGAGATGTAACTTGGGGTGCGACAGGGACCCTAACTATTTACAATCTATAATAATGACATAGATGCAAGGATAGAAGGTATTAAAGTCACATTTGTAGATGACACTAAAATAGGTGGGAAAGTAAGTTGCAATGAAGAAATAAGAAATTTACAAATGGATATGAATAGGTTAGGTGAATGGGCCAAAATTTGGCACGAGTTTAATGTAGATAAATATGACGTTATTCACTTTGCTTGGAAAAGTAAAAAGGTGACATCTAAATGCAGAGAAACTTCAGACAGCTTCAGTGCAGAGGGATCTGGGTGTCCCTGTGCATATTTTTATTCATTCATGAGATGAGGGTGTCACTGGCTAGTACAAGCATTTATTGCCCATCCCTAATTGCCCAGAGGGCAGTTAAGAGTGAGTCGCGTTGCTGTGGGTCTGGAGTCACATGTAGGCCAGACCAGGTAAGGATGGCAGTTTCCTTCACTAAAGGGCATTAGTGAACCAGATGGGTTTTTCCAATAATGAACAATGGATCTATGGTTATCATTAGACACTTAATTCCAGATTTTTTCATTGATTTCAAATTCCACCGTCTGCCATGGTGGGATTCATCCCTGTGGTCCCAGGAATTGACAGCAATAATACCAGTAAGCCATTATCTTCCAAATGAATCAGACAAAACTATATGCAGTTACAGTTGGCAATAAGAAAGGCAAGTAGAATTTTGGCATTTATTGTGAAAGGAATAGAGTATAAAAGTAGGGAAGTGTTGTTACAAATGCACAAGACATTAGAGAAACAGCATCTGGAGTACTGTGTACAGTTTTGTCCTCTTCCTTGAGGAGTGATGTAGTTGCATTGGAGGCAGCTCAGTGGAAACTCACTAGATTGCTTCCAGAGGTGTGAGAGGTCTGTTTAGGCTAATATTCCCTAGAGTTTACAAGAATGAAAGGAGATCTAATAGAGGCATCTAAGATGTTAAAGGGGATTAACATAGTAGAGG